GACTGCATGAGGGGTGGGAGCAGAACAGGTGCCACGAGGCACTGTCCACAGATTAGTACTGCAGACCCAGCAGCAAAAGTAAAGGACTCCTGGACACAGGCCCACGGAGTAGTTGCTGTTTGTTATCAGCCATCCCAGAGCAGATGGCAATAAGCTACTCAAGTCTCCACATCTGTGGTTTTTACTTTCATCAAAAGATGAACCAGCTTCTACTTGGAAGGATTTGCTGATTCTATAAACCCTGACCGAGTGCTCCTTTGAGATCTCTAAGAGACAGACTAAAATGTGGAGGATGTCACTCAGTAACAACATATTTTGAGCATCTGCTAGTCCAACAAGCAACTGGCCCCCTTAACACAGCACTTGTTTAGAGTCGTGAAATCTGCCGTGTTCTACCACTCTCGACTATCTCTTTGACTAGAATTTTCATTTCCTACTGTTCTCAGTGTCTTTGGTTCAAGGAATCAGATGGGCAGGATGGGGGGGACCTCAGGATCTAGTTAAAAATTGTTTATACCCGCAGCAAAATGTATGATGACTTTGAAAAACTCCAGTATTTCTGAGTGCACTTTTCACAGCATCTGTGCTGTCCACCACACACACACTAATAACCTTTTGCTTTTCACCCCCGCCACACACTCCTCTCCCCGCAGGTACGAGGCAAAAGAATACTACGAGGCTCTTCCGGAGCTGAAGTTGGCCATTGATCAAATTGACAAAGGCTTTTTTTCTCCCAAGCAGCCCGACCTCTTCAAAGACATTGTCAACATGCTCTTTTATCATGACAGGTAAGTTATTACAAGATGTGCTGCTAAGAACATCTTAAACCAGCTCCAAGCCACTCATGTAGATCAGCATAGACCTGTGATCTGATCAGGTAACCCAGGATTGAAAAAAAGGTTAGACCAGTGGTTCTCAACCTTCCTAATGTCGCGGCCCTTTAATACAGTTCCTATGGGTCGCAACCCACAGGTTGAGAACCGCTGGGTTAGATGCTCTCCACCTACGATGCCAGTAAGGTTTAAGAATAACACCCCCAGCGCAGTGCCTGTGGCTCAAAAGAGTAAGGTACCGGCCCCATATGCCGGAGATGGCGGGGTCAAATCTAGCCCCAGCCAAAAACTGCAAAAAAAAAAAAAGATAACACCCCCAGCAGAGCAAGGTGACTCACTCTATAATCCCAGCACTCTGGGAGGCCAAGGCCAGCAGATCACCTTAGCTCTCAGGAGTTTGAGACCAGCCTGCACAAGAGTGAGACCCCATCTCTAAAAATAGACAGACATTGTGGCAGAGGGTAGTAGTAGTCCCAGCTACTTGGGAGGCTGAGGCAAAAGAATCACTTGAGCCCAAGGGTTTGAGGTCACTATGA